TATGAAAATTAGTTTTTAGTTTATAAATCTATTTTTTTGGCTAATTATGTGATTTTATATAATTTTTATAAATATTTTTTAAAATAAATAAAGAAAAATAATAAAAAAGAAAAAGAAAAAGAGGGGAACCCATTTTTTCTATTGGGATGGACAATTGGCCAATTGAGCCTCAAGCAGGTCAGAAACACAATCAGGTGGAGCCACGAGTAGTGGGTTTGAGTAGCTAAGGATGAACAAGTAGGGGACATGTGCATCATTCTCCTTCCACGTCAGTAGTGGCCAGCTAGGTGTAGGGCAAGAAGTGGTCGTACATACGTGAGAAATGAACTCATTGATTACTAAATCTCATATTACTATGTATCTGCCTCAAAATTTAACATATAACTAATGTGGGACTAAAATGACAATCACATCTTCTCTATAATATTTTAATAATTTTTTTACATCAAATATCTCTTTTTTATTAGATAGAAGTACCTTGATGACATCATTTTATAAGGATATTCATGTACTTATTTCACATTCTCTCATGTAGGTAAGTGACTAACGAGGGTTCAAATCTTATCACAGCTAAAACTCATATTTTTATCTGATTAAATTATGATTTTCTTGTAAATTTTTGGTGAATGATTAAGTTGTCAAAATCACTCAATATCGTTAGTGAAAATCTCATCATCGTGATTCACATATCATTGTTGTTAAAATTTTTGAATGATTCTAAATAAAAAGATCATAAATCTAGTGAGTAAATCTTCTTCGATTGATCAACAAATAAATCATCATCGAGAAAAAGGTGATTTATCAAGAGACGACAAGTTGTCACCTTCTAAGAGTGTATTAGATGTGATGAAGAGCCTCCTCTTGTTGTGGGACATGAGGATGAAGCTTCTTAAGATGCGCCACACCATCTAATTTATCTCTATCAGGTGACAATCGTTAGAGAGTCGTAAAGTCATTGTTTTTCTATTCTGCCAGGTGACAACTACTAGAGATTACTCAACGACCTATTTCATTGATTTCTAAACTTCACAAGAAGATCTAGAGATTGCCTATGTCATCTTTCTAAGGAGAGCCTTTGAAGCTGTGGACATTGCACGATAATCTTCTCGAATGCTTAACATTCAGACGCATTGTCAACGCATCACCGCTGTAGTGTCGTAACTCTATTTTATTATTTTTAAGTAATCTAACTTTTGTCATCATTTTCTAAATTTTGAAAGGAGATCTAAGGAATTCTCAAGTCATTCATGTCCAGGAAGAGCCTTTGAGGCCATGGACATCGCATGATAACCATCTTGAAAAATAGAATTTTGACAATTATTATTTGTGAGGTTGAAACTCTACCTTTTTTACTTTTAACTTAATTTTTACTTTATTTAGTTGTGTGATTTTAAGTTTTTAAATTATTCTTTATTCAATTATAATTCTTCTAACTTTTATAGATCTTAATTTTGACCAATTAATATTTATAATTACTTACATAAGAATTACCGGACAAAACTCTATTTTCGCCTGATTTACATTCATCAAGCATTGATGTCCTTTTGATGTCTACACCTTTATTTTTCTTTTTCATGAATTTTAAATATATTTTATTTTTAGTTTTTAGTTCTAAAATTCATAAAAAATCATATTATTTGTGATTTTTTTAAATATTATATAATATTATATTACATTCCTGTGATTGACTTAAAGATTTATAATTATTTTTGAAACCTTTTATTAAATTATAATTGATTTATTTGTTTTAAAATATTTTAAAATTTTAAAAATTAATATATTTTAGTTTTATAAATTTTAAATTTGTGATTTATTATGCAATGATTAAGTCACATCAAGAGTCAAATATGATTTTATAATAGTTCACAACATCTTGTCTTACATCCACTTTCATATCAATACCCTTTACAACATAGACTCTACAAGTCTATATCACCCATTAGATTTCAAAGCTCTATAACCTCCTATTATAGCATACACTTAGTAAATCTATCATTTCTCATTAGATTTAAAGGCTCTTTAGCAATTTTAATAGAATAGACTCCATGAATCTATCTACCCTCTAGATTTAAGGCTCTAGCCAACCTTTTTAACAGATGATAGTTTCTCTCCCATGAGTTTCTTCATGTTTTCATTAAAGTACTAGAATTATTAGTAAGGAATATTTAACTCAAATGTAATGATGCCTTCATATATGATGGAGGAGCGTGATGGAAGAAGGTGGAGAATGATGACACCTTAAAAGAAATTAAGAATCATTTGATCTTTTGGTGTTGCAAGTGCTCAAAAGTATGGAGAACAATTGAGTTTCTTGGATAATGAGGGAGATGTCTTAGAGACTCTTGGAGGTGGGAGATAGTGATAACACTCTAATTTTACATGATAAACATGTAATATTATGTAATGGTAAAATGAATTTATGTTAAAATAAATATATTTTAATTAGAATATACTAATGTGTTGAATAATATATAAAAACTTATGATTGAACTTGCCCTTTGGATGATTTATATTCATACATTAATTTTCATCTTCTCAGTAAATGTGTTAATATAATTACCCAAGGTCTATGCCCTTGAGATGAATTTTATATTTGCCAAGAATGTGTTCATGAAGTTAGATATTGAACTTTATTTTTTGTGGTCTTCTGAGAATTATCTAGAGTTGGGTTGGAGCATTTGGAAAGTAGGCCAAGACTCATTGATTAAGCTTCACACCTTCTCCACCATGTCAGCATAAGAAGAGGCTTTAATCCATGATTTTGACTGGTCAGCAAGCTCATGTGGCAACCATTAAATGCCATATCATTAAGCCACATCAGATGGGCAACAAAAAATAGAATGTCCACAAAAATGAGAGGGAATAATAGCCGACTGCTGGGTTTTAATCCTTTCCTTATCTGATCCAATTTGTTAGGTTGTATGTTAGAGATAATTAAGGAAACAGATTCATGCCTATTTCACCTTAAAAGAGGAGGAAAAAGGATCTCTCTTGAAGAGAGAAGGGCCTCATTCTTCACTAAAGTGACATAGAGGAGCATTGTCAGTCCTCTGTTCTCAATAAAATTTCATGCTTTTAATTTCTTGAGTTTTTTAGTTACTTTCTCTCTTGATTCCAACTATTTTAAGATTTATTTTAATTTTTTTTGTAATCTGATTTCTCCTACAAAGCTTTTTGTGTGTGATGATAGAGTTGAGACAAGATTTCTTCATATTGTCTCCTTTATTTTGCTGAGCATTGTGTCTCCTTTTCTTCAAGTTTATTTTGTATTGTGTATGGTAGGATCAAATATAGTTATTTCTTAAAGTCATTTATTCTAATATTTTTATATCTCCTAGACTTACAAATCACCTATTCTATTCTTTCATTGCTTGTAGGACAACCAGGTGACAAATCAGCATTTTCTTCCTCTTTGTTTCTTTATTTCTTCAGTTTGTTTATAATTTTTTTCAGTGACTCATGGATCAAAGTGAGTTAAAGGTGATATGGAGGCAATCACAAGAAGATCAAAAGTTTTTCTTTAATTTTAGAAGTCAATGGAGACAATAGAACTCAACTATGACCACCTAGCAATTAAAGAATTCATCTATTTTCTATTTTTAGTTGTTTAGCTTTCAATAAGTGTTGATAAAAAAAATAAAGATATAATTTTTCTTTCGTCCTTTTGGAGACAACCTGAATCCACAAATTTATTATTTAAAACATCATTGGAATTCAGTTTATGAATTATTAAATTTTGGTTATCTTGTAACACATTGATTAAGATCTATTAGATATGTAGTGTAAAGGTTCTTTCTTAACTCGTAGTATTCCCCCTTTGATTTCTCCTCATCAAACCCTAATTTGAGTGAATGACCCTCTTTTTAGCCTTTACTTATCCTACTAAATGGTTGACTTAACAATTAGTTGAGCGGACCTAAATGGGTTGAGCATGTGCCCGAAAATATTCCAGAAAATATTTTGATAAATATTATCAAACTCATAACTATTTGCATATGTTGATTTTGATGTGCAATTTGTGTGTTGGATTCCGCTTTAAATAAGCCTTCTTGTGCTTGGTTGCAAGCCCATATATGTTGCATAATCTTTCAAATAAAAATATTTTTACTCAATTAAATTAGAAATATGTACGATTTTCTCCTTCATTTGTTTTTGAATTAAGTGATATTGTAAAAATCAGAAAAAATGTTTTTTTAAATTTTGGTACTCTATTTTTTGCATTGTGTTTATTTTCATTAGGTTTATAATGTTTCCTATAAGGCTATGATCATGACACAATTTTCAATATAAAAATTATAGCATTCAACTTCTCTAGAAAGTAATGATGATTATGGTTGTGAATTTTTATTTGATTTAAATATCATAAAATTATCATATTTATTTGTAATCAAGTTTTGTCATCATTAAATACTACATTTTTTTTAACACCAACGGCCGGAATGAATCTAGAGTTTTATGGCGGAGGCTATCAACAGCTGGCTTAGTCATGCCAAAATTCCCAAAAACATCAAAATGCTCATGACATGTGACAATAACAAAAAAATAGGTGATTAACCTAAGAGAAATTATAATCAATATGGGTTATTAACTTAGACCAGTATGACTCCATAGTTTATCAATATGCCAACCCATGTATTGGACCAAAAAGTCTTTAACATATCATGTCTAAAATATTTGAACTCAAATGATTGAGATCGTAGGGCCTAAAAAAAACTCTTGGATGAGCTTTCAAGCAACGCCCAATGATGAAAAAATTTGATCATCTTAATCTACCAAATTATTGGTGTAAGCTTCTACTACTGAAAGTTGTTGGACATTCAAAGCTTCTTTAACTGCTCTAATTGTTTTCTTCTATAATAGAATCATCATTTAAAGCATATTGAGATTATTTTAAGTCATGAAAGGGTAAACCAATGTGATCATGACATTGTAGGTGCTTGCGACTTCCCTCATAAGTAATGTGTGGCATAGCCCGTTGCAGAAGTCCCCTTTTTTCCATTTCATATTTTATACATGTAAATCACTTGGGAATGCTTGTAATATAGGTAGATAGTAAAATTTATGCCTTGACATTCCATGTGGAGTGATTGTTTTGAAAAAGCCATCATGTAAAAAAGAGGTTATTGATCTCATGAATTTCAATTGTATTCTTAGAGTTTGTGGAAGCTAAGGTAAAATCTATGTTAAGCAAACATAGGCCAAAGGAAAGTCAAAACAGTATAAAAGTTGGTGTCAAAGTTGATTTAGAGAGTAGTGTGTAGGCCCACCTGAAAAGTGTGTTGATCAACAAACATGTGCTGACCTATTGTTTTGATCAACAATTTCTATTTTGACCCATGCAACTTTGTCTACTCATTTCAATTGTAGTTTGTAGAATAAATATCTAATAAAAATAAAAATTATTCCAAAAAAGTTCAACCCCCCCCTTAATATACTTTCCAACTTACTAAGGACCCACAATATTAAACTCTTATATGTTACTAGTGGGTCTGAATCATTGTGTTATAAGATCATTAAAATTGAATAATTCATAAATTGAACTCCAAAGATTTTTAAATAATAAGTTTAGTGGATTCATGTCATTTCTATAGATGTTAAAGATAAAAATATATCTTTAATTCATTCTCAACACATTGAAAGTTAAAAAGTTGAAAAATAAAGATAAAAAATAAATGATTTCTTTGATTGCCAAGTTGTAACGTAGTGCTCTCTTGTCTCCACTGACTTCTGAAATAAAAGATATATTCTTATTGACATCTTGGTTGTCTCTAGACCACCTCTAATTTGTGTTGATTTGAATGCTCCTATAGAATAATGTGGAAAAACCATATAAAGAAAGGAAGATGAAAAGAAAATTTGTTAGTAAATTTTCCTCCTATGATGAAATGGAGTAGATGATCTATGACTCAATAAAATCTAAACATATTAAAAAAAATTATAAAAGAAAATTATGATTGATCCTACTCAAGAGTTATATTTGAGTTAATAATTAATAAAAAATATAGTTTTAGCCTTATATTTGTGTTAAATTATGCAAAGTAGTTTTCAGTTGATTAATGTGATTTTTTGACTAATTATTTGATTTTATGTAAATTTATATAATTTTTATAATCCTATTTTTAAGATAAATAAAGAAAAATAAATAAAATAAAATGATAGAAAAGAGAGGGACCCAGTAGCCAACTGGGCCCGCAAATAGGTCGGAAGCACAGTCGGGGTAGAGCCGTGAATAGGGGCTCGAACAGCTATGGACCGATGGGGACACGTGTGTGCCACTCTCCTTCCATGTCACTAGTGGTTAATTGGTTGTGGGGTAAGGAGTGGTTGTACACGCGAGAAATGGACTCATTACTTTTAAATCTAATATTACTATATATTCACCCAAAACTTCGGCATACAACTGATGTGAGACTAAATCGATGATCACAACTTTCCTAGAATGATTTTGTTTATTTTAATATCCTAAATATCCTTTAGTTATAATAGAGATATACTATGACGACATCACTTTATAAGAGTATTAGAGTACTTATTTCAATCTCTCTCATATAAGCAGACGACAGGCGCAGGTTCGAATCATACTAGAGTCAAAATATATATTTTTATATGATTAAATCATGACTTTCCTATAGATCACCGGTGAGGGATTAAGCCATTAGAATCGCTTGATCATTAGCAAAAATCTTGTCAATACGATTCGCAGAGTATTGTTACTAAAATTGTTGAACAATTCGTGATACAAGGATCCTAAATCTATTAAGTAAAGCATCTTTGATTGATCGACAAATAAGCTATCATCGGGAAGAAGACAATTCGTTGGGAGACGAGTTGTCACCTCTTGAGAACATATCAAATGCAATGAAAAGCTTTTTCTTACTGCGCGGACCTAAGGATGAAGCTTCCTAACACGTGCCCCACCTCCATCCAACTTCTTTCTACTGGGTGACAACTATCGGAGAGCCGCAAAGTCCTCGTTTTTTTACTCCGTTGGATGATAATCAGTAGAGATGATTCGACGACCTATTTCATCGATCTTTGAACTTTGCAAGAAGATTTAGAGATTGTCCACGTTGTCCTTGTTCAAAAAGAGCTTTCAAAATCGTGGATACTACACGATAATTCTCCCAAACGTTCAGAATTTCGATGCATTACCGTCGCGACACTAGAACTCTATTTTTTTACTTTCAACTTATTTTTTTTTCATTTAGTGATAATTTATCTAATTTAAATCTATCAAGCTATTCTTCATTCAATTATGATTCTTTGAGTTTTTATAAATCTTAATTTGATTAATTAAATCATCTATAATTGCTTATGTAGGAATCATCGAGTAGAACTCTATTTTTGTTCGATTCGTGTTCATTGGGCGCTAACATCATCCTAACGTCTGCACCCTTATTTCTCTTTTTCAAGAATTTTAAATATATATTATTTTTATTTCTTAGTATAAAATTTATAAAAAAATTATTCTTCGAAGAAAATACTAAAATATTACCCGATATTATATTACATCCTTATGATCGACTTAGAAAATTCTCACTATTTTTAAAACTTTTAGTGAATTATAATTGATATATTTATCTAGAAATACTTATAAATATATGAAAATTAGTATTTTCTAGTTTTATAAATTTTAAATTTATATGATTTGTTATAGAATGACTAAGTCATGTCACCTATTGTGTCTGTTACCTCACATGATAGAATCAATTAATAACTCGAAATGAAACATAGAAATTGAAAATTCATGATATAATAATAAAGAAATTATTAGAAAACCATGTTACAACTCTGTCATCACACATGGAGAGCTTTGGAGGAGAAATCAAGTTGCAAAATCAATTAATAAAAACTTTAAAGAGCTAGAATCTAAAGAGGAAGCACAAAAAAATCAAGAAATGGAAATCATGAAATTTGACTTGAGAAGATATGACTGCCTATACCCTTTTGTGTCACCATAGAGAAGAGGGAGGTCCTCTTGAGAAGATAGGATGCACAAAAGGCTCAATCTATAGTTTCATTGTTCTTTTTATGACTTATTTAGGACAAAGAATTTATGAGATATGTGGTGGAACCTTGATTTTGGAATAATGCATAGTAGGGCGTGAATAGTAGATAATGACAAAAAAATGATGCACAACAAACTTAAGGGAAGAGAGAGAGAGAGTATCTCAATGACGATATATTGTAGTTGATGACATAATGACTTACTACGAGACAAACTCTCTCATTCGAGACCTCTCTTAAGGAGAAAGGGGGAAGGAGGAGGGGGGAAAGAAGAGACTTGTACAATAACTTTTGGGACTCTACAAAAGAGAGAAAGAGAAAGTGAGAAAGATAACTCTAACTCTTCAAGTGGTTAGTGTTAATGGTTAATTTTCATGTGTTAATCAAAGAAAAATGATGATAAATAGCACATTAACTAAGGTTAGATGTAACCAGATTGAATGAAAAATATCAAATAGATTTCAGAGCATATTTCATGAATTCTTATTTTATTTGAATATCATTTTTAATGATTTAACTTATACTAACATGAATGTCCAAGAGATATACCCTTAAGATATATTTAAATTGATGAGGAAGTGTAGAAGAATCATAATCAAGAAAAAAATAATTCTCAGAAATTATTCGAATTTGTAGAGTGAGATGTGGCCTGGTAATGGGCCGACTATATTAGGCCCAATAGCTAGGCCCATCATGAGCGGGTTAAGTGGAGAAGAGACAGAGAGCGAGAAAAGGGGCTAGACCCCGATGGAGAACTAGGGCACAATGACAGTGGAAATAGCACACCTCCCTCTGTGTGACATGTGGAGGTGAGCATGGTGGATGACAATGCAGAACAACCGCAGCATGATAGTGATAGCAGCAATGATCTACCTCGAGTTACATGTGGAGGTGAGCACAGTGGCGGCAGTAGTGGCAGCACAGCAACAATGGCAGTTGCTATGACAGACAAAGCACATTCCCCATGGGCTGAGCATGGTGGTGGCCTGAATCCCCTCTTCCAATGACCAAGATTAACTCTAGTGTGTCAAATGGGGTTGAAAGAGTAACAAAGCAGGGGGTTTCAGTCCATTTGCATTAGCTTCCTAGGTCTAGCCATGTGAATGATAGGAACATGGCAAAATTAGACTATAGACTTGTGGATTTAATTCTCTGCATTTTATGAGTGGAGTTAGCATTAGCATCTTTGTTTTTTCTTATCCTTGGATTACAAATAGGGACCATCTTATTTTAAATATACTTGAAGTTATTTTCTTATTGCATAAATGATGTCTTACATTTTGATTTCAACTCTAAAACATTGCATGAGTTGTACACACTGTTTACCCTTTTTTTTAATCTTCTTTTACCCTTTGCTAGTCACTTTGTTGCTATTGTTTTCTTGTATGAGGAGATATGATAGCAACAACTAAGAGTTAGAAATGAAAAAATCTCTTGTAGTTCCTCTCATTCTCTTTAATTCTTTAAAGATTGAGAACCGAATTTGATATTAAAGAATTCAACAATTGAATTTGAGGATTGAATTTAATTCATCAAAATTATAAAGTTAAATTCTAGATTCTAAGTTCAGTATTAATATTAAAATTTGACATCTTTTAATTCAACAACTAAAAGATGGTCAATTAGTCACTTTGATAATGATTCTTCCATCTTTCATCACTGATTTGTGGACATGCCTTAAATAATGCCCAAGGAATCATGGAAAGGAAGCCCATGTTCATTAGTGTGGACTTCATCATCAGTCATGCAATGATTAGTGTCAAGGGCTTGGCACATGGTGTGACTACAAATATCAGAGATGCTCCAACAGTGCAGTCTATTTTCATTAGATGACTTAGTCTTGCAAGAAGTCATGAAGATATTCTCCGAAGACCCACCGAGATGATATTCAAAGTTTTGTATGAGCTGGTCCCAAAGAAGAGTCCAATAAGTATATTAGCCACTAATGGTTTTTTTTATAATCTTGCCCAAAAACCACACCCCATTTTTACATAGTTGGTGATCTTGTACTAATTTCCTCTCCCACACACCCAACCTCCCTCTCGCTCTCTTTCTCTCTCAATGCAGTTACCCATCACTTGACTAAGTCATTATCAAGGCTTTAATGTGACCCAACCCATAAAGTCAAGTCTTGTTTTTATTGCCAAATGGAAGGTCCATGACTAGTCATGTGGGAATGCTCTCTCTCACAAACAAGCACAATCATATGCTAGTGTAGGCTTGGATTTATGGGGGGTCTAAAGCCTATTGTTTGAGTTCTAGTGTAGACTAGTGCTTGGTGTAAACTTTGTCTTTATCTTTTAATGGCATAGATATTTATTTTATTATTTAGACGAATTCTTTTATAATTAGTACTCTATTATGGCATAATGGACTAATGTTGCATTAACATTAGGAAATGACATATACAATACTACATCTTGTTCTTCTTGTTAATAAATTGTGTCATAAAAATGGGACCATATTTATAATAAGTTTGAGTATTTTAGGAGATTGATGATGTGAGGTTCTTATTAAATATGCAATCAAAATATAATTGGTGATTTTGTTGTATTCAGTGTAAGATAGAACATGAAGTGCGATTTAATGACATTTACCTGTTCTTACACCCTTCTTTCTATTGGCAGCAAATTAGAAAATAGATACATTTTATTAAAAAAATTATAAAATTTGAGTTGGCCGTCATATTGAGGATATTTTATCACAAAGAGTTTGTTAATTGCATCATGCTGGTGGGCAATATCACGTCAGTGTGGTTGGTTATTCCGATAAAAATCTAGGGTTTGATTAGCCGAGAGAATGAGCTTTTATTCGTTCGTTGATGGAGTCTGGTCCATCCAGAGTTATAGATGATATTGTTGGAAGAAATCTGAAGCGGGAGATCGTCAGGGAATTGGGGTGCAGGGGAGGAAGGATCGTTCATGGATCTGGTCGACTGTGGTCATCAGATACCTCCGGAGGCCCTAATGTGGTCCCCAAATGCCTAACCCAGATGGAGGATGGGGGTTAGGGCTTGATTCTCTGCAGAAGACTAACCAAGGAGGATGGGAAGAAGAATCCATGGACTAGGTCGAAAAACCTAGCGATCACGCGTCTTGGCATACCCTGATAAAACCCTAATCCAGACGGAGGAAGGAAAAATTCAATGGGAAAGCTGTGTTGCATCCGATTCGTCTCATCTCCGGCTCTGCTCTGGGGTTCCTCAGCCTGCCAAGGTGGGGAAGCAGCTGTCGGAGCGAGCAAGGGAACGCCGAGGATGCTCCCCATCGCCAGGGGTCCTCCGGCTGGGGCTGCTAGGCGTGGACCGGATTCCCGGGGGAGAGTCGAGGCTGCGGCGGAGTAGCTGCCGCATGGCGGCGATGAGGTGCTCGTTGGCGTCGGCCGCGACAGGGGACGACTGGCAGCTCCGGCAGAAGGCGGCGTGTTGATCGAGCGCCTCGTCGGTGGTGATGGGGCGGCAAGGGCTCGATCGGCAGATCTCCTCCTTCACGGCCTCCGCGCAGAGCCCACACACCCAGCGACCGTCGTAGATCTCCCTTACGCGCTCGATGTACGCCTCCGTACATTCCTCCCTCAGCCCGCAGCATTCGCACTCGGCGAATCCTACCTCCTCCGCCACCGGCGCCGCAGCCGCCGCGTTTCCCGCCTGGATCTGGTTCGGCTGTGGATCTGATGCCGAAATCGGGGCAGAATCGGAATGCTTCGTCGCCGACATTGCTCAGGACGCCGCTCTCTCCCTTCCTCCACACCGGAAACCCTAAGCACATACATACAGAGATTGCCAGAAAGGAAAAGAGCACCAGCGATCTCAGAGGAAAGCCGGAGAGAAAGAGATCGATCGCAGCAGTTATAAATGGCGGCTTTCATTCCCCATCATCATGCAGCAGGGAGGCTGAGGAAGGGCAGAAGAAGCCGGGACACAGAGGCCGCGAATCTCCAAAGCCGCTCCGATGATCTACGGAGCAACTCACCTGAAATTGCAGAATCTTGGACCAGCCAACTCCGAAAGAATCCTCTCTCGTTCCCTCCCCGCGCTAGGAAGAAGGGCACCTCTGGTGGCTTCCGCGGCCTGCAGCCCCGCCACTCTGAGCCTCCGCCTTCCAGAAGACAACAACGCCTCTCCCCTGGTCCTCCTCCTTCCCCGCCACCTCCTCTTCTCTGTTTCCCCTGCAAGACCCTGTCATCCCAGGCAATCCCCCTCGATGACTCCCCAGCGAGAGCTGCAAGAAGAAGCCTCTCTCTTTCTCTCTCGCTATCTCTCTCTCTCTCTCTCCTCTTATTTGGCGGCAAGTGACGTGTCCGGGTGGTCTGATGATTGGGAGGAGAGAGTGTCGACAGGTGGGGGGGGGGGTGGGGTGGGCTTAGAGATTGCCACGTCATCAAGCATTGGGTATGAAATATTATTTGTATTTATACCCCTTTGTTTCAAACGCAGTCACCATGAATCATGAATAAGGCGAAATATATCGCCAGAACAGATTTATTCATAGTTAGTAATTAAATGAGGGAGGTATTATAAAAATCCAACACCCCAAGTGATGCCTATGCTACGACAGCGGCGTTCCGTGAGGATTTTATGCTGCCAGCCGTCATCTTTAGACTGGTGGATGGTAATCCGAGCCTCCGCCTCACGTTTCACACGCTTTGCACACCTCGGGGAGAAGCCCATACGAGAAGTCTTCGAAGGCCGGTAAGCAGATTTCTCACAATCAGAGAAGGTGATCGTAATGCGGCCAAGGTCAATGGTGTCCACTATTCTCAGAGGAGACCGCGGCGTGCACCACAAATGATAGGCGGACACGTCACAGAGGATGAGGATCAGGCCGGGTCGATGAGCAAGTTCCATATATATTTATTATTTTTATTTTTATATATAGATATTGACATAGAATGCGTGGTCAGCTTAACCCAAGTTGGTGGCGGGCTGATTTAATATTCTTAACTCAGGTTAAAGACAAGCTTTGGGGGAGAAAAGGAGGAAAATATCTAGCGGCTGTCTGTATGTCTGCTTCGTCTTGGGTGAGGGTGAAAAACACTCTTATATGCATGCATCCGGGAGGAGAGGAAAGGAAAGAAAGAGAGAGAACACCTACCCCAAGAAGAACGAGGGAGGGAGGGAAAGAGATGGGGGAAGATAGATGTAAGCGCATTTGTGAGAGATTCGAGAGAGATGTTTCCGTGTGTATGGAAGAGATTAGAAGGGGGGGAGAGCGATGGACAGAGATAGACAAGAAAGAAATGAATATAGATAGGGAAAGATGAGAGAGAGAGGGAAAGGGAGAGAAATATGCTGACAGAAATATGGAGAGAGAGAGAAATATATGAACTAGGGATGGAGACAGAGATAGAGAGAGACTGGTAGGTTATAATGGAGAGATAGATGCACATGTCTATATGTTATGGATAGATAGAACGAGAGAAAGAGAGGAGAGAGAGAGAGAGAGAGAGAGAGAGAGAGAGAGAGAGCGAGAGAGAGAAAGAGAGAGAGCGAGCGAGAGCGAGAGAGGGAGAGAACGAGAGAGAGAGAGAGAGAGCGAGGGAGAGAGCGAGGGAGAGAGAGAGAGAGAGAGAGAGAGAGAGAGCGAGAGAGAGAGAGAACGAGAGAGAGAGACAGCGAGAGAGAGCGAGGGAGAGAGCGAGGGAGGGAGAGAGAGAGAGAGAGAGAGAGAGAGAGAGAGAGAGAGAGAGAAATTTTAGTAATTGTTTTATTTGATATGTAAACCATTTCTTGCCTAGTCTAGAATGCATTGCCCAAAGTCATTCCCACTATACCGATGCACCACCCTTTAACTTGTATGTGTGAAGTACATTTGCTTATATTCTTCGATCTTTTATATAAAAACAAAACTGCTCAACCTTTGTCAACAAATTTTAAAATTATTCTGTACATAAATCACCCTAAAAACTAGTCAAGTCAATCTTCATGCTAAAGTGTTTTGGAACTTTTTCTGTGAACAGACCTCTCATATTTCTATATACAATCAAACAATACCTTTGCAAACAAGAAATTTTTATTAGCTGTTAGTTGTCGATATGGACTATGTTTTTAAAATCACTTTTAGTCTAGGCCATATTGGAGTGACTCTTTAGTACCAAAAATGTGATAATTAAAAGAATTTGTTTCAGTGTATCATGGGGATTCTGAAAGTTCTAATTGAAATTTTGTTGAAACTCCAAAAGGTTTACTCATGATAGATTATCTACTTCATGAATAATGCTGGAAGTAGGATTAACTCTATCATGTCCACATTAAAGGACTTGAAGATGGCTAAAGTAGTCTAGTGGTCTAGATAGGTGGGGGTGAATAGACTTAATTGTATTTTCTAAATGATTTCTAATTCATTAGATTGTAATGATGATTAACCCTAATGTATGAGCATGACTAAATCTTAAAGCTCTTTACACAATGATGGGCATAATTAGATGAATAATTTTTTTTTTTATGAGGTGTAGGTTGTGTTATGCACACAATTTATGTTATCAAAACAAGCATTTGCTTATAGTTTCAATGGTTCAGCCCCCAACGTACATCAAATATCCCAAGAGCTCTTGCTCTTTGAGTTTCCCACCATTCTTTCAGGAATATTATATCTAGGTACTCATGACCCTCGAAACCAAATAGTTGTCAACCTATCAACCATGCTTGTCATTACAAGATTAGTATTCACAAGAGATACCAATCGCTCCCTTGTTAGGTTCTTGGAATTGAACGACAAGATAGTTTACCATGGTATTGTTCCTCTTCCACGTGGTTCATAGCTTTACCTCAATAGATAGCCAATCATAACATGGTCACTTTCAATTCTAACAATGCCTGAAAATTGGATTATACTAAATTCAACTTTGTGGTCTAAAAATTAAAACATTTAATCCAAAATAGATAATGACTTTCAATTTTTAAAAAATTTACATTGATTAAAGTTCAGTTTTTTTATTAGTAAATCCATTTTAAATACACACATGACATCTTTGTTGGCTTTAGGAGCCTTGATTATCTCAAAAGATTTGGCTGATGAAAAACCTACATAAGGAAAAAAAAATGGTTCTCATTATGATTTTAATTCTAAAATATATGTGTGAACATTTGAACACAATGTTGAATTATATTAGTTAGAAAATTATTGGATATAGATTTGAATGATGTCAATTGTTCGTATGTTGGTTTAGTGATCATGTTTGACAAATGATTTGAAATTAAGAATACGAATTAAATATCTGCTCAATATCGTCACTTTGCTCAGCAAAGCTATATTTTTTGAGAATTACAAAAAATGTCATTTTCAGAAGTAATGATTTAGACGTTGAATAATACTCAAATAATTGAAGTAAAGTATTAAGATGAATTTAAAATATAATAATGTATCTTCAAAAAGTGAAAATTATACTTTGAATTGATTCTACTTGTAATTTTATCAATCATAGTAGAACTATACTTATAATAATCTAAATATTTATTAACTAATACTCTTTAATTACCATTTAAAAATTGATGATATTTTAGATATTTATTAAGCACATATCAATCATATTAGAAGTCACCAAAGTATTAATCTTGAATGATATTTTAAAAATTAATTGAAAATACTTTGTATCTATATTTTATTTGAGGTAATTTGGATTGACATCAAAATAATTAATTTATTTTTAAACGTGCTTATAGATGTGTTTTAATGAAAGTGGTCTGTAGTTAGGTACACCTCAACTAATATCCTAAGATATATACATTATTAATTTTATGACGGTAGTGTTGGTTGAAATATAGAGGATAGTTGAATTATTAAAGGATGTGCTGTACTAGTTTCTAATAATTCAAAATTATGATTATTTTAAAATTATCATGTTAGTTAATTAGAAAAAAATATTTTCCAATGGCTAAAGCAACTAATTGATCATCATCATTTTCTCCACATCCTAAAATTTTGTAACACTTTTGTATTACCTTTTGAGTACAGTTTAAAGCTTAACTCCCAATGGCAAGAAGATAACAAGTTAAATGGAAAATCTTGATTGAAATTCAATTTTCCTCACCTTGATTTCAGTGACAAAGCCTTCATAATTCAAATAGCTTTTAGATATGAAAAGTAAATGAAAAATAAGATGCAATTAAATTATTGCTGGTAACCTTGGTTTTAATAATGAAAAGTGAAATTTATTGATATGTAATTAATAAATATAAATGCTTGGTTTATATATGTTACAAATGTCTTATATATTTAATACATTCAACGAAGTTATTATATGAAATATCATTATTGATTTTATGATTCTATCACTAACGATCGAATCCAATGTATGAATTCTTGCATTCAACAAAGAATATCAGCTGAAGAATTATCTTCCAATGAAAGTATATGTATATAGTTAAATGGGTATAAGCAAATCATACGAATTATCTTATCTTTGAATACATATTTCTCTAATCATATTATGTACTTTTAAAATTTAGAAATGGTGATTTCCATCTTCCTTAAGATTTCATGTGGAGTAAATCAAGAATAAAATCAGAAAACGAAATATATTCAAATTTCGAATAGAGCATCTCAATGGTGATAGGTGAGATGTTTATGTGGAAAATGATAATTTTTTGAATAAGGTCCAAAGGTCACTACTGTGCATTCTATAAAATGATAAGTTTTTCAAAGAGGTTGTCAAAAAATTAGGATTTGGTAAAATTTGAAAATTATTAAAAGATGAAGGTTAACTTATAGGAAAAGT